TTCAGACCCTGAAAAGTAAGGATCTCTCACCCTACCTCCTATCACGTCATTAAAGCTTAATAAATAATTAAACGGTATTTTGTGACTTTATAGATATGTATAATTGATTGAGGTAGTCAATGAAGCCCGAATCTGATACATTGTTGGTCAGTTGTTGTTTGATCTATTTTTCAGTATTAAATGCAGTATGATATTTGATGTATTTATTTTATGGTCTCGTATGCATGAATCATGGTTTTTTTTATTATAGTTTGTATTATGGTGAACTCGATACTATGTTGTCTTGTTTGATGTCAATTACTGGTTTACATGTTTGTGTATGATTGGATGATTGAGACCAAGAAAAATGGTAAAAAGGTTATGTGAATTGATAAATGGATAATGTGGATAGTCTGACTAGATATCCTGTGAGATGGTGGACGGACCGGGTCCGTAAGGAACCCTACCGGGAACGTGGTCTCTCATACCAGACAGGGTATGGAGACCTTATGTGTTTTGGCGCCCATACCGGACGGGGTATGGAGACGGCCCGTTTCACCCTCATACCGGACTGGGTATTGAGGTTTATGGTTTTGGCGCCCATACCGGACGGGGTATGGGAACGGCTCTGGAATCAGGTTATTAATGTTAATGGTTCACGTGTAGCGGGGACCCCCTATGGATCTCCATGGATACTAGTAGGCTGGTAAAAGAGGAAATTTGTTGTCTGATTATTAAAGTGCAAAAGTATGACATGTGTTCTGTTACAAAGTCGATATAATTTTATGATGGTTATAATGTTATTGTTTTCATATGTTATTTTCATGAATCTCACCGAGGTAAGTGGACAGTAAAGGTTTTTATGTTAATAAATGAGTTTGTTATAAATTATACTCAATTTGTCGTTTTTGTTTTCTACCGACCTTTACTTCTGTGGCAGTGAGATAGTGTGATGTTTTTACTGGGCTAGTGTAGCTCATTCCTTACTTAACCATTTCAGATCAGGAAGACGGAGTTCCTGAGCCCGTTCTGCAGGAAGACAGCGAGTTAGACGCCTAAAGATTTTATAGTTCTGTTTATAGTTTTTTTTTTATTTCGAGTATCTCTTTTAATTAACTTATTCTTTCATGTTTTGAGTACGTTTTTTGTTATTGTGTAAGGGATGTTAATCAAAAATTTTATTACACTTCCGCATTTAAGATTTTTAATACATACATCTTCATTTAATTTTCGGGGCCGTTACAGATTGTGTGTGTGTGTGGCCTATTGAGGTCGAGGTGTGGACGGGTTGTGTGTGTGCGTGGCCTATTAGGGTCGAGGTGTGGACGGATGGTGTGTGTGCGTGGCCTATTGTGGTCGAGGTGTGGGGTAGTGGGCATGAGTCACCGATGTTGGTGACGTGCGAGAACGGATTGTGTGTGTGTGTGGCCTACTGGGGTCGAGGTGTGGACGGATTGGGTGTGTGCGTGGCCTATTGGGGTCGAGGTGTGGACAATTGTGTGTGTGCGTGGCCTATTGGGGTCGA